ATTAGAGTCGAATATGGTCCACTCACAGAAATGGAATCAATATATTTTCGATGCGCCAAAAAAAAAAAAAAACTATTTTTTTCTTTTCTTTTTCTGGTGAAACACACAAAGGTTTCGTCTTCACCACAACAATACAATCTTCAAGACTTCTCCATTTCTTGTTGTCTTCTGCTTCATCACTTTGTGTTCGTCGTAAAAACAAAAAAATCTCCATTAATTTCAAACCATTCAAATTTATCTTTGTATTCTACTTCCTCTGTTTTCTTGAATTTCCTTCACAAATGCTCTGTTTTCATTGAGATTCTTTGATTTCGGTTTATAAAAACCGAAGAAAACCCGGTTAGTTATCTAAACCGGATAAACCAAATGCCACCGCCGATATTTCCACTCCGGTGGGAAAGCACCGGAGACCAATGGTGGTACGCTTCACCAATCGATTGCGCAGCCGCTAACGGTCTATACGACGTCGTAATCGAGCTTCTTCACCAAGACACAAACCTCCTCGTCAAACTCACCTCCCTCCGCCGTATCCGCCGCCTCGAAACCGTCTGGGACGACGACGGAGACGGAGATAACCGCCACGTGGCGCTAAACCGTTCACGCGTCGCGAGGAGGCTATTGGAAGAGTGCGAAATGGGAAACGGAGACAATTCACTCATCAGAGCAGGTTACGGTGGCTGGCTTCTATACACCGCCGCTTCCGCCGGAGATTTGGAGTTCGTGAAGAAACTTCTAGAGAGAGATCCGCTTCTCGTGTTCGGAGAAGGAGAATACGGCGTTACGGATATCCTCTACGCGGCGGCGAGAGGAGGAAACGACGACGTTTTCCGTCTCGTTTTGGATTTCGCTTTGTTACCGGCGGATATCGCCGGCGTCGAAGAAATCGCCGGAGAGAAATTAACAGAGAAACAGTTATTAGTGAAAGAGGAGATGGTTAAAAGAGGGGTCCACAGTGCTGCGAGAGGCGGACACGTGGCGATTCTTGAGTGGCTATTAGTTTCAGAGAAATACGACGACATTTCAAGACTCAGAGATGCTTATGGTTCTACTCTGTTACACTCTGCTTCGAGCAGAGGTCAAATCAAAGTAAGAACATACAAGAACATAACAAGAATG